TATAAACCAGGGGCACCCAACGAGGATATAGTTCAAAACCACTTAACATAGCATTGTTGAACGTATTTTAGTATTCAAACGGTAGATATAGGCATATTTTTATCCCCTAGAAACTTTTCATCTGTTCGGATTTCCTAGCTGAAAGTCTAGTGATCCGAAAATTATAGGGATAAAAATTTTCCTTCTCGAAAATTTCAGCCAGGAAAAGGCTCCCGAAAGTTCTAGGTGGCCTTTTTTAGAGTCAAAATCCGTTAAAAATGGGTAATTATACCATTTTGTAGATGTTCGAAAATCATAGGAGAGGCAGGCAAGCAAGAAATTTTACAACAAATGCTCCGAAAATTCTAGATCTCAAATCGTCTTCCGAACAGATATTTTCCCGAAAATTGCCGTTGGGTGCCCCTGATAAACTAGTAATAATGTGAGACGTGACCTTGACCTTGCTTGAACAACAGGGGTTTTCTTTGTCGCGCGTTGGTCACTATGCCGCGCGTGGAGCGTTCTAAACTTTTACTGAGCGAATCTTATTTTTTCCGCGACATACATTTCGAGGTCAAGAAGATGGTCCATGTATATTGGGTAATTATTTTCTAAAAATAAAGATTTTAGTTTCTTTTGTTTTTTCTCAAGATCATTTTTAGACGCTGATGCAGTCCATTAAGTTTTTCTTGGAACAAGTGAGTCTTTGAACTGGAGCGCCATTTTTTTCTGTAGGTATTAAAGTATTATGCCTGCCAAGATTGCTTAATATTAGACTTCAAAAGTTTCTACATTTTTAAATCTTTATGATATGAGTTTTCATATGAGCGAAAAGCTTTTAGACACATAAACGTATAAAGTTTATGGTGCCTCCGGTTGATTTTTTGCTCTTCAAGGGCTATTGCTTGAACAAAGCCTTCTGGAGCATCTAAAGGTTGGTAGTTTTTAAAATGATAATACTAGGTTAATAAATACATGTTTCAATACTAAGGAAAACTATTCACTTGTTCATTCCCCTGCAGTTTAAGGCAAAACGCAATAGAATCCAGCCTTATCCTAAATGCACAGAAAAAGATACAAAACTCAACAGAAAGGACAAATAGAATAGCATAGAGTTCATGCCATTATCAATAACAACCCTTTATGATCCAGTGTAACTGCAAACAACAATATTTTCTAAATGACCGATTGTCAGTAAGAGAAGTATAATGTCAAAAACCCATTCCCAAAACCTACTCACTTAAGATGACCATTAGATAAGTTTACAGGTGAATTAAAAATGCGATGAATTTCTAACTCACAGAAACACGGGCGACACACTTAGTGTTCTGTTGCATTTCACAATTTGCACTTAGGAGTCGCAGATCATCATGGCATTATCAAAAACCTACTCACTTAAGATGACTATTAGATAAGTTTGCAGGTGAATTAATAATGCCATGAATTTCTAACTCACAGAAACACGGGCGACACACCTAGTGTTCTGTTGTATTTCACAATTTGCACTTAGGAGTCACAGATCATCATGGCATTATCAAAAACCTACTCACTTAAGATGACTATTAGATAAGTTTGCAGGTGAATTAATAATGCCATGAATTTCTAACTCACAGAAACACGGGCGACACACCTAGTGTTCTGTTGCATTTCACAATTTGCACTTAGGAGTCGCAGAACATCATGGCATTATCAAAAACCTACTCACTTAAGATGACTATTAGATAAGTTTGCAGGTGAATTAATAATGCCATGAATTTCTAACTCACAGAAACACGGGCGACACACCTAGTGTTCTGTTGCATTTCACAATTTGCACTTAGGAGTCACAGAACATCATGGCATTATCAAAAACCTACTCACTCAAGATGACTATTAGATAAGTTTGCAGGTGAATTAATAATGCCATGAATTTCTAACTCACAGAAACACGGGCGACACACCTAGTGTTCTGTTGCATTTCACAATTTGCACTTAAGGAGTCGCAGAACATCATGGCATTATCAAAAACCTACTCACTCAAGATGACTATTAGATAAGTTTGCAGGTGAATTAATAATGCCATGAATTTCTAACTCACAGAAGCACGGGCGACACACCTAGTGTTCTGTTGCATTTCACAATTTGCACTTAGGAGTCGCAGATCATCATGGCATTATCAAAAACCTACTCACTCAAGATGACTATTAGATAAGTTTGCAGGTGAATTAATAATGCCATGAATTTCTAACTCACAGAAACACGGGCGACACACCTAGTGTTCTGTTGCATTTCACAATTTGCACTTAGGAGTCGCAGAACATCATGGCAGTATCAAACACCCACTCTTGAATACATACAGTTAGATGAAAAAGAAGAATTTCTTCTCAAAGTTAAATGTCGCCCTTTAAACAAACATAATTGTAGTGTTTTCTGTCAAAAAAATTTCACTTTTCTTTAAGACCTCTGTATGCCTAATCACATTTGCAAAACAGTTTCTGAGATCAGCCTTTATGAAAAAAAAAAACATTATTAGCCATTGAAAAGTGACAGGAATTAAAGTGAAAGGAGAAAAAAATGAATTTAAATAAGGGAAAAACAATGGGCTTCAAAAATTATGTCCCACAATAATTACAAGAAAATGATATTTCAACAAACAATAAACTGGTTAACTGACCTCATTTCTCACAATTTGCTATGCAAGTTAGTATACTGACTTTGTTATTTAATAAAAGCGAGTCATACCCATTGTTACTTGGTTGTATCCTGAGTGAAGGATGTGTACAGAGATTTTGGATTGGCGGGCTATTTTGGGGAATTGGCGGGCTATTCGATTTTGGCGCCAATGGACAGAACCCTTGAATCAAAATGAACTGATCCAGTCCACTACCTCTTGAAATCCGCTTCTAGAAACATGATTTAGCTAAGGGACTTGTGGCGAATGATATCGAGCGACAGCGGACCAAAAAGCCCCCTCCATCGACGGCACGGAGAACCAACTCATACAAGCAATCTTGAACGCCATCTTGTCAGACTGCTTAAATTCCTCGCTAAAACTCTTGACTGAATCGGAGGAGCCGAACATGCATAGCTTTCCATTACATAGGCTGGAATTCAAAGCAATGATACCAAGTCTTTTCGGTATCCAGCGAAGGAGAAAAAACACCGGCGCAATAGAATAGACGAGGATCGTCACACATGTACACCGCCATCACTCGTGGCTCTCACTCTCAGGAATCTTCTGACAAAGTATCGTGGCAGATCTAGCGCGATATACCAAAAGCATACCATATAAAGTAAAATCCAATTAATTCCATTGTAGGATGGGTTATACTTTTACTTGCACAATCCTTTTTTCGACTTGCTGATTTGTTTCTTTGTTTTGACATTACGACGCATAAATAAAGACTGCAGGCAACCGCATGCCTAAAAAGCGGCTCAATATTTACAGTGTCTTCGCTACAGATCGGCTATCGTGAGATAGCACCGGCCAGTCGCAATAGGCAAAATCTTGTTTAGCCTTGAAGCATTTCAGTTTGAAAGGGAAAATATATTTTTGAAAAGACAATTCGTTCTTCCGCTTTATTTCCTGATCATTGCTGTCCGCGCGTCCTGGCGCGTGGATTCCTCGTGCTGAAATCTGGCAAAAAATTATCTAGAACGCAACTTGAAGGTTTTGCAAGGCATACACTTTACTATAAGCAAAATTGTTTTAAGTTTGCTTTATTTTAATTTTTATAATGGATAGCGTTGTATTTTCATCTGGTTTTTACTATCTTGAACGCGTTCTGAGCTTTCAAAAGGATTACTACTGTAGTGGCATATGACAGGGTTGACACCTTATCGGATTACGTTTTTTGGCCAGAAATTAACGTGCTAATTAAATTCCCACAGCAGGAAATTCTCTTGTCACCTTTTGAAAACAAAGCGTCCGTAGCAACTAAGAAATCATGCTGATCGCAAAAAAAAGTCGCTTGCGGATCCTCATGGGACATGGCGTCATGTGACGTGCTGGACCGTGACCACTGGCCTACTCTGTCTTTACTCTACAAGATGGATATTCTTAAGCTTTTCTTTTAAGCGCACAGTGAGACCCTGCCAGAATTACTATCCAAGTATATCTTCTCTAAACGGCTAATAAAGGGAAACGACCCACTGCCGGTACCAAGTTTTAATAGTCGAATTCTTGTGAAGGATTCCCTTGCCTACAGAGGTGCAGTCTTGTGGAACACTATAGGGCAAATATTTAAATGTAGTTTAACCAGCGTTCAGCAAAACCGCGTTTGAAGTCATTTTTAATTTTCCCAAACGATTTTATCTAAACATCTGTTCATTTATTGTGAACAATTTTAAGAAAGTATATAGAGAAGACTAGAAAAGCATTTATCTTCTTAAAGCAACCCACCAAAGAGGAGATCTGGAGGTTCAAAGATTCGTTAAATTAAACCGCGGCTTAAGTTAGACTTCGTTTAAATATTTGGCCCTATTAGTTTAAATGAAGTTAAATGAGCCTAGATTCTCACATAGAAACCAGAATGAGCTGTGCAATCTATTGAAAACAGAAACTTATTTCAGGGATCGACTTTAAATTCAACGTTGTTTTCGCTTCAGTTGTCCGGTATCCGAATAATGACTTTATTTCTATTTGATGGTTTTATTGTAGATATATTGTAGCTGTTTTTTATTTCATCTTTATTATTCATTTTTTATTTTCTTTTATAGTTGATAGACTTTTTAGTTTTAAATACGACCCCACAAGCTTGTAAACTTTTATAATTATTATCGTGTCAAAATAAAGATCTTCTTCTTCTTTTTCTTTATGCGTCATTGTGACTTCTTTATATTTCTCGTTGCGTGAGCTCATTTTTCTTTGGTTAACTAATTGAGCTAAAAATACTTCTGAATAACGGGAAATGTTGCTGTTGCATCATCCTTACTATATAAAGCCTATAGGCCTTGGCCTTCAGTCATTGCCTGAAGTCGTTACGAATTGTTGCAGTTGATTCTGAGATTAGAGAACTACCTTGTAGTATCCATATAAAAATATGTCGACAGCTAGAAGGTCATTTGCGCTAATAGTCGTCGTCATTGCTTTCGAAGGTAAGTACATCGTACTCCTATTGTGTCAGTCTTCACAACTTAAGCGTTTGTGTTCATACTGCCAATTCAAAATTTAAGTGCTTTTTTCCCAAAATATCGATTACTAGATGCAATAGTCAATGTGAAAGGCACTAAAGCCCGCGGTAATTGCTGTTAGCTTACCGCCAACGACTGTAGCGACAGAACTGAATTAATTCCATTATAAAAAGTTCTGATAACTTAGCAGTCTTTTGACTTAACAAACCATCAAGGAAACTCAAAAGAAGTTTGGTACCCTGGCCGATTTAAATGTCATACAAATGAAATCTATTTTATTCAGGCACTTGCTATTGTCTTGTGGAGATCATCTCGAGTGGTGCGCTTTCGCGGTGAAAATATGAAGGCATACATAAACTGAAGAGATAACGGTGAATACATTCTATCAAAATTGCTATATTTGTGGTTTTCAGCTAACGCCACGGAGGTCATGCTGGTGGACAAGAACAAAAGCGTTTCCCTCCTCTAGAAAAAAACTCTTTTCTCATGCAAATTTTGCTAAAAATTTTTTATTTTTTTGTCCACCAGCATGGCCGCCTTATCAGGCTATTGAAAACCAGCAATCAAATGTAGCTTCAAGAATGTAATCGATAAGCGGTCATAAACCTTTAATACCAATCTTTTTTTAAAAAAAACTTGTTTAACAAACCGAGTAATACACTACTGTGATCAATCCAAAATTTCTCTCTAGCAGTTGTTTTGACACGGAGTCAATTTAATTACCACTTTTAGCAGATAAGTATCTCTGTTAATTCCATTATCATTATGTCTAATCGTTTGTTTGGTTTTGTTTTTACAGTCAAACCAGGCCAAGCGTTCCCGTCGCTAGCAAACTAATGAATCCATTAATGGAAAAATGATTTCGTTTGTTGATTCAATAATCCATTCATAAAATGAATAATCCAACTGTAAAATTGGACCTAGATTCAATAATTAAATGTTGATTTGGTTGATGAACAAAATCTACCTGTTCTTTATTCTAGCTTGTCTGTTGAGTTCAATCGTATTTGCCTCCCTTTTCCTACCGTTTACGATTGCGTTTTTAATTGCCTTTAATCAAAATAACAGCTAGAAGAGACAGACTGCAAACGCAAAGAAACTGACAAAGGCCGGGGATCGAAATCCACCAATCATCGCACATACACTGACCTCAGTTTGACTATTGTGTTTTCTAAGAGGTCAGGTCCGTTGCATTGATTACTGGAAGCAAAGCGGCATACATGTAACGGTTTGTTTGGGTTGAACTTCAGAACTCGCCCGCACTCGACTCTTGGACACAAAGAAGAAAAAAGTGTAGTTTTTCAAAAAACAATAATCGAATCAACATTCGATTATCGAATCGAGGCTAAAAATGAATATTGGATTGTTCATTTTATGAATGGATTATTGACTCAACAAGCGAAATCATTTTTCCGTTAATGAATTTACTAGTTCGTTAGCGACGGGAACGTTTCACCTGGTTTGACTGTAATATCAGCTTTTTCTGACAATGCGTCATCGACAAATAAAAACAATACAATACAAAACATCTGCATCAAATTGGAATAACTAGATTAAACTCGCTCGTTCATTTATTCATTCATTCATTCATTCACTTATCATAAGTGACCTTCGTTCACAGTAGTGTCTTAAGGTTAAACGGTTAGGGCTGAAAAGAGTATAAAAGCTTTAGGTCAAGCTTTGGTTGCTTGACCAGACTAGAGATTGACATCTGTCTCAATATCTTTTCTTTTACTTATAAATTATTCCGTTTCGCTGCCTTCTTTTTCTTTAGGTGCTCGTGCTGAAGACATGAAAGTTTGCCCAAAAGAAATGGTCAAATTGTATTGTCCTCCCCTTGAGCAAGCCATCAAGAGCGGAGATTACAGAGAACTCATCTGGAAAGTCGCCGACCCTCGTGACAAATCTGATTCTGCGCGAAAACTGGGTTATTGCGGCGAAAATCTCAGCTGTACCAGTTATAATTCCTTGGAAAACTTTGATGAACGTATCACGATCAGAAATTCTCCTGTAAATGGGACATTGTACATAGAGCAAGAGATCAAGGATGACTTATTGACTTTCACTTGCTCTGTGCAAAGAAAACAGAACAAGGACCCCCTCGTTCACCAAGTGAATGTTTTCTCTTCTGTGAACTGTGAGTAGAATTCAGAGATGGATATTTTTTTGCTTCTATTTTTATGCCTCATTTAGTGCGCGCACTGTGATTGCTTAGCGGTTTAGTGGGCCGGATAAATCACTGTAATATATAAGGACCGTAAATTTAAAAGTTTGCTTTGCAGGCGTGGATCCAGGATAAATTATACTGACCGAGTCCTAAACGAGCGAGCCCAAGGCGCAACCTTCTAGGGGGTCAGGGGGCGGGCTCCTATCCCTTACTCATTAAGTAGATTAAGGCCTGAGTCATTACAGAGTTTTCAGAATTTTTAAAGGGGGGTGGTATAACGTAAAGTATTTTCAAGAAATCCCATGACTAACAATTTAAGGCCAATCATAACCAAGAAATCTTCCAATTTCATTTTAAAAATTGTTTATAAGAGCATCACGTCATCAGCCACGCCCTGATTTATCGAGAACTCCTTTGAGTCGAAATTCCCACCAGAAAGAGAGTAACCTATTTTCCTTCAGTAGGTCCAAAAAGTGGCTACTAATAGTCTTCATGTAAAAACAATCAGAATGAGGCGGGGTCAATAAACCTCTTTCTCCTGTCGATGATTTTAAATAAACCTCTTTCTCCTGTCGATAATTTTAGTTGGAGGAGAACTGGTACTAGTCAGTGAACACCCATTGCACCTGCCAATTGTAACGCCTCGAACCATTCCGAGCTGATTTCTTAGACACTTTGTAGGGACAATGTTTTGATACAGAGAAACTTGAGCTACTTGTTTGGCAAGTGGTGGGAATCGTTGGTTACAGTTTTTGAACAATGGAGGACGTAGTCAATCACGTGTCCGAATAATTTCAATTTCTTTTTTCAAGTTTTTTAAGTTTAGTTTACCTCCCCAGATATCGTCCCTTGTGGATGTTTTTAACCATAGTTTTTGGAAACCGTACATAAAAACCATAAATGACTTAGACCCAGGCATTAATCTACCTGAGCAGGAAGTTTTTTGGATTTTTTCTCCTTAACTGAGTTCCCTTTCCTCGGTTTTCCGAGGCATTTAGACAGATTTAAGTTGGAAAACTTTTTTTATTGTTAAAAATATATTTAACATGAAAAATGTGAGTGCAAGAGAACGACTGGACAACTGACAATTTGACTAACAATAGACGACTGCCTAACTGTAACAATAGACGGATCGAAACGCACCAATTACATTTACTTACGAGTCTTCATAGCCAATAACATCACGGCTAACTGACAGATAGCCAATAACATCGCATAATAGCGAAGTGCGCGAGTGACGTCATCCAAACCCCGAAAGAGTCAGACAAACACAACTTTCAGTGAAAGAAATGGAGGAATATTTAAAGATTTCTTCGAGCTCGAGGCAGTGGCCTCAATTGTTACAGAATATGACAGAGACCCGGGTTCAAACTATGCTGATGAGCAACTAAAGTAATGAGTAAAAAGCCGGGGCTTCAAGCAAGCGGTTAAAAGGAGTTATTTATTCACAAGTGTGAGCGATTCGCTCGCTCTAGAAAAGTCCTACGACGGCTTATCCTTGACTGAAGTACAGACGATGGCAAGTAATAAATTCTGCATTCAACTTTCTGGAAAGAGCATCTAAGAAGTAAATAAACAGGACTTATGTATGTACTATTGATGTTCAGATAAATTGATCTCAGTGTAACAGTATAAACTGTATATTGTGTGTGTACAGGTTTTCAGTTTCTCGGTCTTTTGCACTAACTACCTTGAGGGAGGTCACCACTTGCTTTTAATTAAGTTGTCTTCATAATTTAATTCATTCTTCAGAATGATAAGCTTAAGCTTATATATGTAAAGTGAGGAAAATCATTTATCGTTTCGATTGTTGCTTAGTTCTTGCCTCTTAAACTAGGCAGTTTGCTGAACAGTTGTGCATGCTTACTTTTTTTCCGAACCTTAACTGATCCTCGTGTTTCGATCTGGACTGGTCAAAATCATGTTTAGTTTATTCGATAGACGCATTCGACTGGTAAAATGCTCTTCGTATATGAAAGGGATTGAGAAATTCTTTACAGCGGCTGTTTCTCCTAGCCAGTAAAATCCACAAACGTTTGCGTTTCTGATAATATTATCGACCGTAAAATTTTCACGGGAACAAGCGTTAATTAATCGAGCCTTGACAGCGATCAAGTTCTTGCAATGGCTTCCGTCACATCTCACAGGGGTAATAGATCTTTTCACAATCGAATTCAGTATTTCTATGAGCGATCCGTGTAGCTTTCCTGGATACCTAGAATTCCTTTTGCATGGCTCCAACAATAATGCCTAGCACTGAATAAAATTAAAGGCCTAAAAACGCCTTTTTTGACTCAAAACCTTTGCCTAAATTCCCTCTTTTCCTCTCTGAAACGCCAGTGTTTGTCTGAGTCTCGTGGGGGGTCCAGAAATATGCAATCTATTTTTTAGAAACCGCGCGCTTCGCTACTGACCAATCAGGACAACAACCAGAGTATAATACCATCAACTGACGTGATACAACCCACTTTGACTCTGAAGATGACTACCGCACAGGTTGTCGAAGCGTCAGTCACTGTGAACAACAACAGTCCTATTCAGGACTACGTTCACCCAGACGATCAAACTCAACCTACTTTTATAATGAGTATTATAAGCGTGAAAGGAATGTTTTTGAAGACTCCAAGTCACGATTTGCGGCGCTCATGTTTATGAGTTGTCGCGCGTAGAGATCATCAACATCCGTCCTGCTTGAATTGAAAAACATATACTACTTTTCTCGATCTGTACTGTAAGTTACGGAAACTCTTTTTTTCTGCTCGGATTTATGGCCCAAGGGCAATAAGCAGTATATTTCTCGAGCTCTGATCGGCTGATAGTCACTTAGTCACTATAGTTCCAAACGCATTAAGCTCCTTAGTTTTCAGTTCAGTATTCGAAATTTTTATCATCGATGAAAACTTTCTCGTCCTGAAAGATCGACAACAGGAAAAAGATTGTGCTCAAGATATTCAATCGAGTATATTTAGCGGTATTTTTCAAGCGTTGTAGCCTGCGAACGCAAACGTCGCCTCTCTCCACCCCAAGAGTTACTTTTCAGGTGGAGAGAAGCGATGACTGGAAATATGTTGCGTTTGTAGTCTGTAAATTTCACGCCAAATTCATCGGTAACCGGCTGCCCTTTTATTAGCCTATTTGATTCAACGAACCAATTGAGAAAATGATCTCATGTTGCCGTGCGACTGTTCAGAAATCACAGATAACGTCAAAATGTGGTAAGAACATAGCACACGAGCCGCCACACAGGCGAGTGTGGTATCCCTGCTAAATGCGCATGTGGGCCTATGGTCCAAGTGAACAAAGGCTGTTGAAATGTATGAACGTTTTCGTGCATCTTTTCAGGCCTGACTTTAACTGCAAATCAAGCTTTTAACCTCAGCGGGGCACTAGGTAAAATGGTCTCCACAGCTGGCATTCAAGATATGTGGTGGTACTGGGTCAAACGCGATGGAAAAATGCAGAAGATTGCATATTGCAACTCCGAGTCGTGCGTGTTCGACGAGTGTAACAGTACCTGTCAATCAAGGTTCAGGATTGACGGAGCGACACTGGAATTGACGGAAGTTAGGGAAGAAGACCGTGGTTTGCAATTACAATGCGAAATACTTCCCAAATTCCAGGTGTACAGGATGAAAATCAGTGTTGTACTGCCAAAAGGTCAGTCTAACTTACATCACAGATTGCAAGTAAATACTTTTAAGGGGGAGATCTTTTTGTTGCTGTTAATTGTTGTTGTTTTTTTTTCGGGGGGTAGGGTTTATTTCAGAAGGAAAGAAATTAGGTCAAATTAGGATAGAAAAGGTATACAAATAAACCAGTTAGTCCCCTAATGAGCTTGAATTAAGACACTCTGTTTTGATGGTAGACTATCCGGTATATTTGTCTACTAATTATTCTCTTCCTGTTTTAATTTTCAACAACCCCCAAATCCAGTATTTTCCATTTTCTATAGTTTTTTAAAACTATAGAAAATGGGGGAATGACATTCCCCCATTTCTATCGATTTCATCTGGATGGGCATTCATTGCTGAACTAAATAATTCTTTCTTTTATTGACCTAGACTCTGTTAGCAGCACAAGTAGTACTCTTGGCAAGAATGAAAAGGTACCTTCTAACAACACTGAGACGACTTCCGAAACATCAGGAAAGAGAAAAGCTGGGACCTATGGTACCCAAAATTCGGCAAGCAGCAGGACCTTATTAG